ATATATGTATGTATTTACAGTGCCTGGCACATAGTAACCACTTCAGTTGGCCTGGCAAGGTGGCTCAGCAGATTAAGACCAAAAGAGAGAGAACTAAATAAATAAATGGTGATCCAAAAAAATATTTTGAGTAAAATAAATGGACACCTGGCAGTAAGTCAGTATTGAATTGATAGATGTATGTTTATTTATATTATGTGAAGTTTTGAATGTAATATCATTAGTTTTTCTGTTTATAACTTGAAGACCAAAATGCATCCTTCTAAAAAAGCTTCTCATCAGGCATGATGGTGCATGCCTTTAATCCCAGCGCTGGGGAGGCAGAGCAGGAGGATATCTGTGAATTCAAGGCCAGCCTGGTCTACATAGTAAGTTCTAGGCCAGGGAGACCCTGTCTTTAAAAAAAACTTCTCTAAACACCATTTTTAAAAAACACATTCCTTAAAAATGGCGAAGGCTTCATTTTAGAGCAAAACTTTTAAAGAGCAGTGTGATCTGTGATGACTCTGTTTACATTGTCAATATGGTCATAACATTTTTTTTTTAAGTGTAGAATTTCTAAAAACATCCTGTTTGCAAAAGCATTTTAGAAAATCAAAACACATTTTAGGAAATGACATTGGCAATAAGCCTGTTGATGTCTGCTTCACAGAGGTTGTACTGCATTATCCAAAGCTGTTTTTTTTTTTATTGTTACTAAACAAGTATGAGTTAGGTTGTCTGGGATGCACTCACTACTTACCTTTCATTTTAATTTATTGATTTGCTTTTCTGAAATTAGTAAACAATAGAAATATTAATAAAGTTTTAAACTTCAAGACCTCCACTAAGAATATGACTCCATGGTAGAATATGGGCTTAGTGTGGTTGAAGCCCTGGGTTCAGTCCTCAGCACCCCTCCACCAAAAGAAAAGGAGAGAGGGAAGAGAGGGGAAGAAAGGAGGTGGGAGGTAAGAAACTCGAGCGCCTTCATATTTATTGACAATTGTATATGTACTTACTAAAATATGATTTCATTTGATTTGACTGTTTAAATCTGTCTAAAGATTATTAATATTTTAATGCTAATCATTACCTTACTAAATACTATACTTTGAAATGAAAATAGATGGTTTTTATATGCTTTTTAATTAAATCGATGGTGTTTTAAGTTTGGCATATTCTCTTTCTGATATAATAAATGATAGATAATCATGACTGACTTTATATCTATATAATGCTTTTATGTTTCAGGAAAAAGTATTGGGGGACGTGGCCACAAAATTAGTGACTATTTTGAAGTAAGTTCATTGAGAATTATTTCCAGTTCTTAATTCTGTTGTAAGTTGAAATTAATGCCTGAAGCACAAGGTCAGCTTTTGAGAAGAGTGTTAGTAGTGTGTGACGTTCTTTTCCCATACTTGCTTTATAACACCTCCTTATACAATAGATAAAGTTAGCAGTTAGTGTTTCTTTTGAAGACAGGAAATAACAAAATAGCCCACCTAGCTGGCAAGAGAAAAGGAATAACAGTAGAACCCTCAGGCTTACCAGTTATGTAACATTCTAGTCTTTACCATTTAGCAGCAATATTGAGTCCTGTGGATGGAAATTAAATAATCCATGGAGATCTTAAGAACCCCTGAAAAAAATAATGAGTGTAGAGTTTTGTTTTTCCCCTTCCTTTTGAGAGGGCCTCCCTGTAGCCCCAGCTCACCTGGAACTTGCTTTATAGACCAGGTTGACCTCAAACTCACAGAGATCTGCCTGCCTTTGCCTGGGATTAAAGGCATGTGCCACCATGCCCAGCCCTACATAGCTTTTCTTAATGCAGCTAAGTCATGAACTTCATAGAAAAAATGGCTTTTTAAAAAAAATTTTTATATGTACAAGTATATTGCCTACATGTGTCTTAAGTGCGCCCATGTTGTGCAGTGCCCATGGGGTCAGAAAAGGATGCCGGATTCCCCTGAAACCGGAGTTACATACAGTTGTTGACCTCCATGTGAGTGGTCGGAATCAAACCCGGGTCCTCTGCAAGAGCAGCCATTGCTCTTAACCGCTGATCCATCTCTCCAGCCCCAAGAATGACTTTTTTTTTTTTTGGTCTTTTTGAGACAGAGTCTCCCTGTAGCCCCAGCTGGCCTGGAACTCACTATGTAGACCAGGCTGGCCTTGAACTCACAGAGATCCTCCTGCCTCTGCCTCCCAAGTGCTGGGATTCAAGGCGTGTGCCATCATGCCTGGCAGGAATGACATTTTTAAAAGTTTTTGTGTTATAGGCAAATGACTTGTTCTATGTCATTATTACATTGAACATTTGGATATCTTAACAGCTCCTATGAATAATGATTTTAAGATGGTTATATTCACTAAAATCCACATGTAAATATTTTTAAATTTCTTGGGATTATAGACTTTATTGGTTCCCCTTAAAGAAACATTTATAGGGAGACTGCTAAGCTTTGGAATTTAAAGTGTTCATTCTTTTGGGGATTTGTCTCGGAGTAGGCCATAATGACAAATTATAGTTGTAAGATAAAGTAGTAGGTATTGTTGTGGGGTTTTTTGGAGAGGGGTCTTTTTGAGACAGGGTCTCCCTGGTAGTAGGGCTGGCCTGGAACTCAGAGAGATCCACCATGCCCAGCAAATGTTAGGTATTGTTAAAAGATGTAGTCTTACTAGATGTGGTAGCACACTCCTTTAATCCCAGGAGGCAGAGGCAGAAGCAGGCAGATCTCTGCTGAGTTCAAGACCAGCCTGGTCTACATAGTAAATTCCAGGCCAGCCAGAGTTACGTAGTGAAACCCTGTCTTTTTTTGTTGTTGTTGTTGTTGTTCTTTGTTGTTGTTATTTTTGAGACAGGATCTTCCTGTAGCTCCAGCTGGCCTGGAACTCACTATGTAGACCAGGCTAGCCTCGAACTCACAAAGATCCACCTGCCTCTGCCTCCCAAGTGCTGGGATTAAGGGCACACGCCACCATGCCCAGCCTGAAACCCTGTCTTTAAAAATATATATTTATTTTATTATTTTATGCATACAAATGTTTTGCTTGCATGTAATGTACGTACTTGTGCATGTAGTGCCCAGAGAGAACTTTAGATCTCCTGGAACTGGTGTTGGGGACAGTTGTTAGCTACTTTAGCTATGTAGGTGTTGGGAACTGAGCCCGGGTACTCTGCAAGAGCAGTCAGTGCTCTTAATCACTGAGCCATCTCTCCAGCCTTCATACCCCATCTTAAAAAAAAAAAAGATGTAGCCTTATATTCTTGGGATTAAGTAGTCTCTTGTTAGTCTTTTTTTTTGGGGGGGGGGGTGTTCCTTTTGAGACAGGGTCTCCCCTGTAGCCCCACCTGGTCTGGAACTCCATACTATGGAGACCAGGCTGGCCTTGATCTCACAGAGATCCAGCTGCCTCTGCCTCCCAAGTGGGAATTAAAGGTGAGAGCCACCATGCCTGGCTCTTGTTAGTCTTTAGAGTACTTGCTTGGCATATGGGAGGCCCTACCTCAGTCCCCAACATCACAAAATAAAATATATTCTTAATGCTAAGTCTGAAATAACAACTGTCAAGCCGAGCATGGTGGCTCATGCCTTTAGTCCCAGCACTTGGGAGGCAGAGGTAGGCAGATCTTTGTGAGTGCGAAGCCAGCCTGGTCTACATATTGAATTCCAGGCCAGCTGGGGCTACAGGGAGACCCTGTCTCAAAAAGACAAAAAAAGAGAAATAACTGTCTTTTCCTACCTTAACAGATAAGTGATATTTCCTATTTCTTTTTTTTCAGTACCAAGGTGGAAATGGCTCAAGTCCAGTAAGAGGCATACCTCCCGCAATCCGTTCTCCACAAAACTCACATTCACATTCCACTCCTTCTTCGTCTGTAAGTTTTTATTGTTCAAGGTTTTCATGCATAGTCTTTTTTTTTTTTTTTGGTCTTTTTGAGGCAGGGTCTCCCTGTAGCCCCCGCTGGCCTCGAACTCACTATGTAACCAGGCTAGGCTTGAACTCACAGAGATCCGCCTGCTTCTGCTTCCCCAGTGCTGGGATTAAAGGCATGCACTACCATGCCTGGCTTATTGAGAACTTTTATATAAAGTCACTTATGTTTTGAAAGAAAAATCATTTCTGTGAGGTGAGTTGAATCTTTAATGATCTGATTCTACTAGAACTTTGTATTTTCAGCTTTCAAAAATTTAATTTTATTTTGTTTATGAATGTTTTGCCTGCATATATGTGAACCATGCATGTGCAGTGCCCATGGAGGCCAGAAGAGGTCGTCAGATCCCTAGGAACTAATATAAATTTTGTAACATTTGTCTATATTCAGTAGTTCTGATTTTTAATTCTGTTATTGATTAAAATTTTAAAAATTTTGTTCATTTTTGTTTTATGTGTATAAATGCCTATGTGTATGTAAGTACATCACTTGGGGGGAGGCCAGAAGAGAGTGTTGAATCTCCTGGAACTGGGGTTGGTTGTTAGCTGGTAACTGGACCCAGGACCTATAAAAGAACAAGTACTGTTGACCACTGGGCCATCTCTACAGCCCCTGGTTTAAATTTCTTAACCATTAGGACTGGAGAGACGGCTCAGCAGTTAAGAGCACTGACTGCTCTTGCGGAGGACCTAGGTTCGATTCCCAGCACCCACATGGCAGCTAACAGCAATCCACAACTCCAGTTCTAGGAGATCCGATGCCCTCTTCTGACCTCTACCTGCATTGCACAACACAGGTGCACTTACATACATTCAAGCAATACACTCATATGCATTAAAAAATAGATTAATAAAATATTTTAAAATTTCTTAACCATGAAATTGAATCATGAAGAATCATTTTGGGGAATTTTTAAGAGAAAGACTGGCTATTCAGTTCAGCAAAGATCTTGGATGTATCTTATACCTTTTAATTTGTTTCTTTTTTTTTGTCTTTTTGAGAGAGGGTCTCCCTTTCTTCCATTTAGACTGATCTCACAATGGTCTGCTATGTAGACCAGGCTGGCCTTGAACTCACAGAGATCAGCCTGCCTCTGCCTGCTGAGTGCAGGGATTAAAGGCATGTGCCACCATGCCTGACTATATCTAATATTTTTTTTTTAATTTTTAAAAATGATTTATTTAATAACAACATACTTAGAAGAAGCATATCATTACAACACAATTGACATATTCAATAACGTTTTCCTGAGGTAGGATGCATCTCTTTCAAATTTGGCTGTAAATTTTTAGGTTTACAGTTGAATTATTACAGTTATA